TTAATTTATCATTCTAATATGTATTCAAATCCATTCAGGTATATTTTTCCATTATTTATACAACAAAGAGCATGTTTTAAGTAAACTGTCCATTATGTGAAAGAATTAAAAAAATCGGAGTTTCTCAATAACACAGAGTCTATTTTACATAACTGTAAAAAGTCTTTAATTTAAAGCTTTAATTTGAAAAAGAAGGAAAAAAACATTTAAGAATGAATGTTTTGTGAAAACCGGTTGGTTTTTGGAGCGGAATCCCTCCTTTACCGTTATAACTTCACGGCTCACTAGGACTGTGTACAAAAGATAACTAAGCACAGAGATCGACAGATCAACGTTCGAATTAATGTTGAGGTGGGAAGTGAAGTTGGTTTGACATTCAGCACAACGTTCAGCTCGACATTTGATTTATTAACGTTGAGATGGAATGTGTGGGTAGCTGGCACAAAATTCAGCACAACATTCAACGCGACATACATTTTGTTTGTCCCTGGTTTAATATTGAGTTAAGATGTAAGACTGGCTTTTAGACATTCCTTTTTTCTCTTTTTGAATGTCGAGCAAGGATGTGCAGTTGGCTAGACATTCAGCTTAACATTCGTTTTTTCTCTGTTTTGTTTTTAATATCGAGCTGGAATGTGAAGCTGACTAGACATTCAGCATAGCATTCAGCTCGACATTCATTGTTTTTCCTCGTTTCTGAATGTCGAGCTGGGATGTGAAGCTGGCTCGACATTCTGCTCGACATTTGTTCTTTAGACTGTTTTAAATATCGAGCTGGGATGTGAAACTGGCCCGACATTTAGCTCAGCATTTAGCTTTCGTATTTTGTCCTTTTTTGTCAAGCTTAGATGGGAAGCCGGCTCGACATTCAAAAGAACATTAAAATCGAGATTGTTTTTGTTTTTTTTTGTATATGTCGAGCTTAGATTTGAATCTTGCTCGCCAGGCAGCACAACATTTAGCTCGACAGTCGGTTATTTCTTTTGGCTCTTTTTTAATGTGTGGCTAGGATGTGTGGCGCTCGACATTCTGTAAAACACTCAATTCGACATTCGTTTCCTTGTCTCTTTTTTAATGTCAAGTTTGGATATTTAGCTGACTCGACTTTTAACACAACAATCAGCTCGACATTAACCTTTTTAGAATTTCGAGTTGGGTTAAGAAACTGGATCGACATTTAGCAAAACATTTCAGATTAATATTTGATTTTGTCTCGTTTTTGAATGTCGACCTAGGACGAGAAGCTGGCTCGACATTCAGTACTGCATTCTGCTGGACATTTGTTTTAATCTGTTGTTTCAATGTCGAGCTGGGCAATGAATCTGATTCGACATTCAGGCTGACATGTCGACCCAGCTTCACATTCAAGCTCGACATCAAAAATAAGACAAAAATGAATGTTGTGCTGAATGTCTAGCCAGCTTCACATCCCAGCTCGACATTCCAAAAGAGACAGAAAAACGAATGTCAAACTGAAAGTTGTGCTGATGCAGGTGATGATGATTTTTCATGATGATGATGATGAAGATGATGATCATAAAATTTTAATGGTAATGATAGAGGTGATGATGATTTGAGTGTTCATAATTATTGAAGATTATTATTATTATGATTTCAATAATGACGATGATCAAGGTGATGATGATTTTTTTTATAATGGTGAGGATGATTATAATTTATATGTTATAATAGATGATATGTTATTTTGATAATTGATGTTGGTATGATAATATTGTGTTAGAAGCTATATGTGTTGAGAGCTATATGTGTTGTGAGCTATATGTGTTGAGAGCTATATGTGTTGAGAGCTATATGTGTTGAGAGCTATATTGAGAACTATATGTGTTGTGACCTATATGTGTTGAGAGCTATATGTGTTGTGAGCTATATGTGTTGAGAGCTATATGTGTTGTGACCTATATGTGTTGAGAGCTAACTTAACTCATTTAACTCATTTAACTGATAAATCACTAATAATGTAATAAAAATAATAATAAATTCATTATACAGTATAGGACATATCAGAATAAAATCTCCTGTGATCTATGAGGGTGTTCAGATATGAATGCAACTGAGTTAATTTTCAGAAGTGATTAACAAACAGTGCCAAAATAATTATCTCAATCTTTCAAAATACTCACCACCATGTGATATACAAAGTTTTAGTCTTTTAATCCAATTTTTAGATGCGTTTCCGAGGTATACTGTTCAAACACCGGAAAATAGCCGAACCGAGATTTTTTTCGCTTTTGGTATTTTTTTCTTCCAGCAAGGTGTTTTTGAGCGTCGGAAATAGAAAAAGGTCACAAGGGGCAAGATCTAGCGAATAAAAAGGATGAGGAAGCTCGACAACCTTTTTCTGTTTCAGATATTTTCGTACAATGGCCGCTTTGTGATACGAAGCATTGTCATGCAACAACCTGTCACCACTGAGACCAGTTGCTGGTCGACAGTTTTAAATTATAAAGGACCTTGTCTTTGTAAAACTAGGCATTTACAGATTTACCCTTTAGTACAACAAATTCGAATAGTAGACCTTGATTGGTTAAGTAAATTACATTCATGACCTTTTTGACGCGAATGATCCGTTTTATTTTGCAAGGTCTTCGACTTCCTTTGGTTGCCCATATTTTGTCCATATTTTGCTATTTATCTTTCGCTTGGGCTCATAAAAGTGAACCTACGTCTCATCGCCAGTGATGATATTTGCGAAAGATATATTGTTGTATTTAAGGATTGTTTGGGGATTCTTACCCGAGCAAGTTCTTGCTTTTTTGTAAGGAGATGGGACATCCATCTGGCACTTATCCTTCTCATTTTTAAATCACGTCTTAAAATTGTATGAGCGGCTCCTACAGAGATACCAACGCAATTAGCTATATACCTAGTTGTAAATCTTGCATTAGCAGCAATCAAATCCTTCATTTTTTAAACCTTGTTTGGCGAAGTTGCAGTAGTCGGACGGCATGCATGAGGTACATCTTTGACTGAATCCACACCACTTAAAAATTTCTTACACCACCGTGTGACAGATAAAAAAGAAAGTTCATTGTTTCCATAAACACGACATATTTCATTAAATATATATTTCGCCTGTATACCAAGAATACAGCTGTTCTTGATATTGGACCGTATATTTAGTCACTGAAAGGAGACTTTTTCCCCACCATATTAGCTTTAGTATACTCGAGTAGATAGCGTTAATCAAGCTATTGACAAAGCAAGACTGAACTGATTTACACATGTGTGTATTGTATCACACAACCATCTATGCGATACATGTACATAGTCCGTGCAAAACGTGGCTAAAAGCGAGATAATGGCGTTCTTGCATTCATATTTGAACACCCCTCTATATTCTCACGTGTATATACAGGTATAATGTTTAACTTACAGCATTATGTAGACAAGTTTGCTTATTTAAAAAAGCACGCGAGAGGTCTTTTTGCAGCTGTTGAAGATTTGTTTATTTTGAAAATATTTTGATATATTTTTGCATAAAAGGCACCAGAGATTTTCCAAAACGGGCATAAAGTATGTCAATCAAACAATTTTTGTTCCAGATTTACATTATAAAAGTATATATCATTTGATGTTTATTCTGGAAGGTCTATTATATTTAACATACTGACATCGTCTTTCATTGTGTTAGATACATTTTTTTGAATGCATGTACGTTACCAAACTTAATCAATATTAAAGTAAGGATTTAACCTACAAAATTACATAATCAATGAACTTATTCAAAAGACTATGATGTACTGATTGCATTTATTTGTATTTATCATAATAATTGATTGTTTGGTCTCGGGGGTGAATTTTAGGCACCAAATGAATCAGCTATTTAGTAATTGTAATTTGAAATATTCTCGTCAGCACCACTGGAAGTTTCTAGTTTAATAGTAAAAGGATAAATGTCGTTGACAAGACTCAATGAACCAGTATTTATCCATTAAAATGTTTAACATTTGCTGCTGAAAAGATTAATCAGCACAAAATGCTTTGACGAATCATGTCATTATGTTAAATAATATGACACAGAAATAAAAGTCATACGTATTTGCGGCAACTGACGAAACGGCTTGAAGAAAATAAAAATACTTCTGAATAAGAAATAGTTTTATGGAGCATGGAATTTTATAAACTAAAAAGAGATAACTTCATCAGTTAATATCATAGATAAATGAGCCGCGTCACGACAAAACCAACATAATGGGTTTGCGACCAGCATGGATCCAGACCAGCCTGCGCTTCTGCGCAGTCTGATCAGGATCCATGCTGTTCGCTATCAGTTGCTCTACTTGTAATAGGGTTTGTAAGCGAACAGCATTGATCGTGACCAGACTGCGCGGATGCGCAGGCTGGTCTGGATCCATGCTGGTCGCAAACGCACTATGTTGGTTTTGTCATGACGCGGCTCAAATGTATTCCAGATGTCTATGTTCAATGATTCTCTCTTCAGAACGTAATATTATTGTTAAAGAAAAACATTAATTTAGAAACTCACTCTTCAAGAAATTGATTTTTCTCTCCAAAATGTAGAGAATGTTTTTGAAATGAATACATTATGACTAAGTGAGATGAGGAAGGTCAAACCTGGCTCTGCAAATCGTGTCATTAAGGTCAACATTTCTGGCGAGTAGTTTCAATTTCCTAACAGACGGACGTATGACCAGGTGCATTACAATATACGCCGACAGTTTGTTTTTGTTTGTTTTTTGTTCTTTTTTTTAAAGAAGAGGAGATATAAATAACAGGGCATTGATTGAAACATCACTGTAAATTTAACTTTATATTAAAATGTAAACTAAAACATTTACATTGACACCAGAAAAACTACTTCAAGCAGGTGTGAAAATATTACTGTCTGGCCAGGTGTTCACTTGATGAAATAAGCGTATCTTTATCTAAAACAGATTTAAATTCTCTAGATATTACTTTTGTTTTTACTTATATAAGTGACATTTTAAAATTTTCAGTATTTAAAGATAAGATAAAAATTGAGAAGGAAAATATATTTATTATTTTCGTACATCACATGCATATTAACCGACAAGTTGGCTGTGTGATGGTGTCTTTGTATCTGTTGATAGACGGAAGTTTCTAAAATAGGTATAAGTGTCTCTAGGACACGCCCAACTTGAATCTCCGCCGCCATAAAATGTGGAGAAGAAAATACCGTCAATGTCGAAATGAGTGTTATCTCTCATGATCACATCGGTCACATGTACTTCTGCATGGTCATCCACCCATAACTTGATGTAGCCTTTCTCGCCTGCATTTCTGTTAAGTTGTACCTCCTGACGTATTTTGTGCCACTTATGATGATGGAACCTGAAAGCTCCCCGTCCCATTTCTATACCTGTAGTTGTAGTGCAGTGAATGTGTCGGTACGCTTCAGTGCTTGATGTGTCGTATTTAGCGCACCAATTGTCCCAAGAACCCTCTTGATTGTGTGTAACGTATGCATATACCTCGCCGTCACCAAGAGGGCGCCACATTAGTCGCGTAGAAAAACACGTGTCTCTAATTCTCCCTCCAGAGCAATCACGCGTGCCTCCCCATAATCCTGGCAATTTTCCACCACGGTGCCATGAAAAACTATCGGGAAAATACACCTAGGAAAAATAATTTGTAATAGTTGTAAGGTTTAAAAATTAAAATTGGTAGTTTACAACGTTCATTCAAAACGTAACGGCAATTGTGAAAACAAATAACAAATGTACATATAATGCTACTCAACATAAGTTGAAACTTCATAATGATTTATTTTTGTATACGAGCATGATATTTTATACAGGTAAATAAAATTTACTTAATTATCTTCATGTACAATTTTCTTTCGTATTGATAAATTTTTACGTAAAAATATCTCTATAAGGTAACAATTTTAAAGTGAAAACCATATTTTCTGATGTAACCTTTAAAAATATAATATCTTCTTTAAAGTTATAATTCATTGTAAATCTGTTTTATTTAAGTCTAGACAACGCACCTTTAATATTTACAATTAGTAAAAAAAATAATAATAGAAAAAAAATCTCTAAAATTATATGATACCCTAACAAACAAAATAACAATTTTAGATTAAATCAGCAAGTATAAAGTGACATGAATTATACCTCGTATTGTAGGGTGAGAGTAGTGTAGCTGTGGTGAGACATAGCATTTGGTGACGCATAAAACTGAGCCCCTCTATGACACTTTTCTCCAGAGTTGCATGAATGACCATCACTCCTATGTCCGGACCATGTACCTAAACACATCGACAAAATACCGTATTAAAGTATTGATAAATAGTTAAACAGCCAAAATAAAAACATTGTAGATAAACAAGTTTGCCTACGTGTTGTTTCACAGTCGTTCTGATTTCTCCGCGGTAACCCCGTGATTGATGTTGTGGTCGAGAGAGTCACATAACATGTTGTTGCTTTAGCATATACTAGAGTGTAAACTAAAGCTCGAAATCCTCAGAGGGCAATCTTACATAATGAATTGTTTGTTATATCCTATAATTTGTTTGTCGTTTGTTGTTGTAAATTTTCATATTTTTTATGAACATAGAAAGATCTTGGTTAAAGCTTTGTATGAAACAAAAATACCGTTATATTCACTTAAACATTAATAATCTTCTCGGAATCACTCTGTAAGGTCACCTTGCAAGGCCCATAACTCTACCATGGATTTCGACTGAATGATAGCCATTTTTACTTTAGAAAATTGTTGATGCAACATCATTCTTCAAAACTGCTTAAGGTATTAACATGAAACTTAATAAATGTCTTCAGGATTACAAATGGAGGTCACTATCCAAGGCACATAATCCAACATGGATTTTGACTGAATGATTGCCCTTTGTGAGCTTAGAAAATTCTTCGTTCAATTTTTGCATGCAACATCAAACTTTAAAACTGCAAAAGATTTTGGTTTTATTCTAATTACCAGTTTTTATGGCTATAAATGGTGATCACTTTCCAAGCTCATAACTGTTGGCATGGAATTTACTGAATCCTAGTCTTTTTTAACATGTTCTTGTTTAAAGTATTGCATTCAACATCAATATTGAAAAATAACAAAACTTAATTCGCGTATTCTTTCTTCAAAATTGAAAGTCTCTTAACAAGGTCCATCACTCTGACATGAATTTTGATCTTTTCTGAACATAAAACATTCTTTTACAAGTCTTACAACTATACGTCATGTATCTTTAATATATAATCAGTTCAATGAAAACAAACGCTTTTCTTTAGCTTTCGACGTTTAGTATTTTTTATGTATCTTTAATGGAATCTTCCTTTTGTTAATGCCTATACGAGTATCAGTCAGGCTCTGGTTTAACTATTAAGCACTGATAATATAACTATTAAGCACTGAGAATAGTTGAGCGTGCTGTCCTACTGGCAGCTCTTGTTACGAAATGTTATTTTGTTTCTACGAAATATTATTTTGTCCTTACGAAACATAATTTTGTTTTTACGAATCATAATTTTTAAGAAACATAATTTCGTTTAAGGGGTATTAATAGTATATACTACCAGATTGTAACGTACACTATAGCTATAGCTCGAATTGTCTGTTCCTTTTATCAATATTGACTAAAACCTTAAACCTAAATCTTTTACAAACTGAACCATTACAAAACATAATAATATCGTAAAGGTAGAATCTATGCTCCGTAAGTGTTGAGACCATGGTTCAAATCCTTGATCATACATTTTTGTACTGATTGGAGTTGAAGTCCTCGTGAATTTCATACACGCTTTACGTTCATAACATGTACATTATTACTCCAATCTTGAATCCTCCTACTTTTCCTAAACTCTTAGTACATTTTTCTCAAGTTTGAATTTATTGAAATAATTTTTGTTCATCTGGAAGCATGCTGCTTTAACTTTCAGCTGTGCAAATCATTAAATTGATTGAAATAAAACAATATCATGATAATAATTTAGAAATTGAAAAAAAAATCACCTTTGAGATTAGCTAAAAAACATTCATATTTAAAAAAATGTGCGCAATTGCAGATTCGAGACACCGGATTTACGTCCAGACTCACAATTATTCTGTTATGTTATAATTAAAATACAAAATATAATTATGTAAAAGTTATCATGTTCGAATTCAAATTAAATGTATGAGAGCATTTTAAATGGTATTGTGTAAAGCATAAATTACACGGGGCTGAATTACATATGGATCTCAAAATTAAGCATCGGTAGGAATAAATATGTGAACTTCCCGCTGATCCAATATGTACTTGAACCTCATATTGTAGTGTCAAATGCAGAGTGTCAGGTCATTTTTGTATGTAGCTTTATTTATATTTCAAATATATATCCTTGTATAATGTCTACTTACAAGTTACAAGACATAACCTTCTTATCAGCAGACAATATTAGTTTGTTTATCATTTCATGCCTCAACTGAATAACTTTGATGTAATGGAAGGTATTTTTTACATCTAAGCAATTTATTTTTTTAAACTCTATCCAATAACTGAGATTTGAGATTGAGCTTGGAGAATTTCTTTATAACCTCAGGGCCAGGACTCACGCCGGAGAAAATACCACACAAAGACTGCTTGAAAATCCAAAATTAAAATGGTAAATATAGAGGAAAGTCGGGAGGATAGCATTACATTTCGATTTTCTTCAAAAAAGCTTCGAAATTGAAATAGTTGAAAACTTACCTTGTGAATGACTTTCTTTTGCCTTCATATATGGGGTTCAAGTGTACATCCGGATCAGCGGAAATTCACATGTTATTATTTACATAATTATGCTAAATTTTGAGATCCATAGTCCCCCCCCCCCCGTGCATTCCAGAATGTAACAAACACTCTACTTACTTCAATGTTTTATAGCATCTTTAATTAGCGTGAAACAAATTTCAACATCTTATTAATTTTACCTTTCTTATAAAATACCCGTAATACGAACTGTCCCGGACTTTCAGGATCCTCAGCCAGGGACAAAGAGTCATCAGCTCCGATACCGAACTGTCCTTTATGATCATGATAGTCAAAGGCGTCTCTCAACACGGTGTTAATGTCTTTATTACTACTTTCATGACTCCAACTCCATATTTCCGCACCTGAATTTGTTCATTTAAATATTGTAACACTTTATTCGACTGAAAAAAAATGAATAAATGTAAATCGTGGTAACTTTAACCATATTTAAACTGCTATATGTACAGCCTATATCGTACACCGGAAGTGTTTTGACTTGGTTAGTTGCGAATTGTTTATGTGCGAGTATAAAAATAAATTCATGGATATTCCTCGATTAATACAGGGAGGTAATCGTTCACCCGCACTATTCTCTGTTTTCTTGAATGGTTTCCCTTCTGTTTGGAGATGTCAGCAGTGTGAGCATTCAGAATTCCTGTAGGTGTTCACTGTCTTACACAACAGGGATTTTGATTGGCTCCCAAGTGTTGTTTGTTGTTGAAGAATAGATTGATTTATTTGTTATTCAAGTTTTATTTCGAATTAGAATATATTTTTTCTAATATAAGAAGTCAAATAATAATCCATTGTCTTTCAAAAAGTGCCTGCAAGTGAATTCATAATATTATTAATGCATCATTTAAATATTTTATTTTGAATTGATAACACACGCACACACGCACACACACACACACACCTATTGTTATTGCAAATTGTCGTTGGGATAAAGTTGACCCTAACCAGTCATGCTCCTAAGCACAAAGGGGTGATAATTTACCTCCATGCAATTTCTAAGGAGTATTAACCAAAGATATCAATGTTGAGCCAAAAGTCGGTCACTATAAGTCGGCCAATGAGAACCTAAATGTACAGTAAAGGAGGTAGTCCTGAAAAAGGCTGTTATGTCAGCAAAATGCCTATCTTTCAAGGCATCACTATCAATGCTAACGCGCACTAGCACACTTTCCTCGTCGCCCTGCCTACTTTGTAGAGCCACTCCCTCGTCGCGCCGCCTTGTACGTAACACCGAGCCGTAGAAAAGATGCGATACACGTTGCATTGAATATTAATTAAATCATCTGCCGATGCCCTGTACCTTCTCAAAGACGTGCACTTACCGAGTATAGAAGAGTCATCGCGTGACTTTATGTAGTCTTGGGATCATTCTCTATGTTGAGTCATGTGATTTAAGCAATTTCATTTTTGTTGTCATTTGATATAAACTTTTCATTAAACGTCTTCAAGAAATTGTTATAATTATAGCGAGCTTTATAGCAATACTTGAATTCTTAAAATAAAATTTATACCATATGGCAAATGAGATGTGAGAGTCTATGGTACGGAACATTTTAGGAGTTCATGGAATCAGTATTGACGTGGGGGTTGGGGTTAGGGTTTGAGTAACAAATTAGTGTTTACCTTGTACCATCCAGCCGGAGTAAATCAGCACGGAAAACACAGGCAGGAACATGCTTTTAAAAAAAGATTAACAATTTTATGAAGAGTTTATGCGTAATTAATATACAAAAAATATATATAATGTCGGACTGTAGTAATAATGTGAAAACGTACAATTGCTATTTTTTCTCGAGAAATGAATAAATGATAAAAAAAAGTCTTACTTGGGCTATGTCGCCTTCCTATTCCTTAATAATGTAAGATACAAAAATACTGATAAGATGATCAGGTTTAATATTTAGACCAATCTTTTGCCATTACACGAACCTTTCTCATGTTTGACAATTGCTACATACAGATAAGATCATTAACTGAGTGTTACCTTCCGGCTCATTTGTTTAAAGTTGATTGGCCTAAAGTGGGCATATTTTTCATAAAAATTTCAAAAGATTTTAAAATCAAAAGAGAGATATTTTTATGAAATATTTCTGTAAACAGAATTTTGATAGAGTTCTAAAGTGATTTATTTTTAACATATATATCGAGGGTTCAAAGGTAAAAGGTTATAACTGCCACTTTTGCCGAAATTGACTTTTTATGTTTTTTATAATGTACTAATTGTCCTTTATGTCTGACGAAAATATTATATAAATATTCAATCCTTATAAGGGCAAAAAAATAAAAAGTATTTTGTAATAACTTCTTTTCTACAAATTATTTAGGGGTAAAAGGTTCTAAGTGTACTTATTACCTGTTGGTTACTTGTTGTTCCACATGTTGTGAAGAATCTGTAGTGGAAAAAGGTTATAACTGATTTTATCACCTTTTTCCCCTGACAGAATGCTGCATTCATACAGTTCAAAGGCACTATCTGTTATCTCTTTTTCCACGAAATTTATCTTTTAGAATTAAATGCAGCGAGAATACAACCGAATATGAAAGACAGAAAATATTCAGTACATACTGGTAAATGGTTGATTACATAAGTCAGAGGCAATTCATTTGTTTCCATGTTGCCAATAAAGAACAAGGGAATGTATCTAAACAGAGAACAAAACAAAGAACTATTTCGAATTTGTTTTTCACACAGGTAGAAAAGAGGGCGTGAGGGATGTTGCACTTATTCATTATCTCTCATGTACAGACTCAATCAAACCGAGTCTGCAATTTTTATGTAATTTTGTTGTGATTAATGCTTCCGAGGGATCACTTTGTTTCCAGAATTTTTTACTAAAAACTATCGATGTCGGTTCCAAAACAGTTGCAAACGCAGTAAAGCACAAAGTGGCAGGGTTATATGTTGGAAATGACAAGAGAGGGAAAGCTTTTCCTTGAAATAAAACCACGGAATATCACAGATTATTTGTAAAGAAACACAACGAAAGCTTTCCGACTGTTGAATCACACTACACACGAAGACCCCAACAGGAAGTATCTAACGCAAGATTTAAATATAAAACGAATATACTCACTGTATGTAGAAAAATGCAAAGGACAAAATAGAAAGTGTGTTTCAGAGGCTGTGTACAGAATCATTTTAGTACAGAATATAACTTTTTTTTTTCCGTCCTAAGAAAGATCAATGTCCACTCTGCAATCTGTATGACACTTTGAGAATAGAAGATAGACTAGATGAGGCAACAAAAGCAAAATATCAAGTACACCAAGTGACCAAAAAGAAAAAAAAACAGTGCTAGAATGGAAAAATCAGCCGATAAAAAACGCACAAAGAAAGATCCAAAATTTTCTGTGTCGGCATATTTTGAAAAAGCCACTCAGTTTAATTGGTGATCTTCGTTACAAAAGAAAACTGTGTTGTTGCAATTTGTCATTCTATGAACTGGGAAATGGTAACGGGACTTGTTATCTGTTGGAGGGGAAACCAGGCTCGTGCAAAGTAGGAATTTTTGTGAACTTGTATGTAACCTCTGTTGCAAGTAAGACATCTGGTATTGAAGAAGTGACATTATATAGTAATGCATGTGGAGGACAGAATTGCAATCAGTTTATTGCAAGTTGCTTAGTTCACTGTGTCCAAGATATACCTCACATCAATGGTAAAACCACACATTTCTTGAAATTGGCCATTCATTAATGGAATGCAAATTCCATACATACATGCATCTATCAAGCATGCAAAAAGCCTTACAATAGTTCATGTTCCATCGCAGTGGGAAACAGTTATATCATAAGCACGCCGGAAGCAACTATATATTGTCGTTCTAATAAAATACAATGACATACTAGATTACAAGTTGTACAAAAACAACTTTGGCTCAATGAAAATCGATGTTGATGGTGAACGTGTTAATTGCCTGAATATATATAAAATACATGGTTGATTTAGGGATGGATAAGGCTTATCCGGTGAGCTAGAAAGTGTATCTTGGCGAGCTTTAGCAAGCCAAGATTCACTTGCGCAGTGAACCGGATAAACCTTCTCCGGCCCGACATCAACCATGTATTTGTTTTATCCTGCTTTTAATAATGTTTTTAGAATAATTAAATGGTTTCATTCTTCTTTTTCCCCGATAAAATAACATCTATATGTAGTTTTGTTTTGCTGCTAAACATGTGACGTTATCAAATGACGTAATGACTGGAGATAGATAAAGACAAAAATACAGTATTGTTGTGAGCTATGGTTTTGTGGTTAGTGAGTTCAAGGCAGTTAGGTTAATGCAGAAGAAGAACAGAAGCAAAGAAAAGTATCTTAAGGCTCCACGAAAGGCTTATACAGAGAAGCTTCCAATATCTGCTGCAAAAGCTGATTTGATGTCACTTGTTGCCTCTGGAACAATTCCGAAGGGGTGCGAATCATACTATGAGTCATTGCCATGCAGCAAATCTATAAAAGACAAACTTTCAGTGCCTTCTGTTAGTGAGAGTGAAGAAGATGAGTGGAGGTCATAGAATAATTAATGACAAACATTCACATTTTGTGACATGAAACAGTAGTCTTTATTTACTTAACTATGATATGGGTCACTGATATCCTTAATTGCTGATGTCTGGGGTCTGTTTGACTTCAGTTCGATTATATACCAGAGAACATTCAAAATAAATGAAATTTGTAAACTTAGATTTAAGTGCGTATTTTCGTAAACTTTTTAGTTATTAATTTATTTCTGTAGAATCTGAATATTGAGCAGGTACATATTTCATATTTCTATGAATGAAAAGTGTTAATTTTGTGTACGAGTATTTATGTGCATTGTGTTAATTACATTACGTAAAGTTCTTCAAAGTAAGGACATAATTGATAAATTTGCAACAGTAACAATTACTGCAACATCTAAATTTTTCAGAGGAACAAGGCTATAACTGCACTTATAACCTTTTACCACAGTTTATCTCTTACTTTTATTGCTAAACCTTCAGAAGTAAAAGGTCGTAAGTGCAGTTATTACCTTTTACCGCTCAAACTTGTAGTCTTGACAGGATCTAAGTACATTTATTACCTTTTACTTCTGTAAAATGATATTATTTTGATCTTAGAACTTTAAAACAAACTATAATTACAGTGTTTTATCAGCACCAAGCAATGTAAACTAAACAAAATATGATCTAATGTAGTCAACAAATATGGGAGAATCATAATTGTTCTAACAATATTACGGAAAATAAAGTTGTATTAAAAAAATATGTTTTTTGCGTTTTTCTCGAAATCTTGAAAATGGCAGTTATTACCTTTTACCTTTGAACCCTCGATATGATGAATAATAATATTTTGTTCAAGAACACTTTATCGGCTATAAATGCATTTAATGTATACTTATAAAATGTATACTTATAAATGAAATATTGAGAAATATCAATGAAATAAAATTCATAATCATTTCATAATCATTTTCCATTGTGAAAAAATTATTTTTCACTAGTGACTTGCCGGACTACTTTCTTAAGTTCAGCCAATACACAAAATTAATCATAAGGTTATAAAAGAGTAAAAAAGTATATAATAAACAGAAAAATAAAGTTTTTCTATGAATATGTGATTTATTTTTATCTTGAGATATAAAAATAATCATATCTTAAAAAGATTCAATATTATTTCCATGTTATGTACGATTTATAATATGGCAGTAATTCACCATATTCCTACTGCATTACTAACGCTGTAATGTGCTATTTTTGCATATTTTGACCTTTTTTGTTAATTTACATGGGTTGTAAGTGTTGTTTACAATGTGATTTTTTGTTGTTCACTTCACAATATGTTACTTTTAAATTGATTTTTCAAATTATCATGAATATTAGCACAATTCTGCAGGCATGCTGCTATAACGCTCTTGCATGTGCTAAAGTTCTATTTACTTCATTCCTTAGATGTAATTGCCTAGCATATTGGTTTCTGACTAGAATATATTTTCAGTATAGTTATTTTAAAACTTTATTCACCATAGTAAGGATTGACATGAATGCCAATTATCCGAAGCTAAATTCCATGTAAATTGTGTTGCCAGGCTATAGTTATCAGGTAAAAAGCTCTCATACCAGCCTCGGTTTTTTCCCTTTCTCTACCGTCACAATAAGTAAACCCCAGCAAAAATGAATCAGTGGACATGCTCTTGGGTGCGGGTAACTAATACCTGCATTGCCCTTATTTAAATGTGTGCGAATAAACTACCATGCTTTTTCTCGGCGTGGGAATGTGACTACTCCTTGTTTTATCTATATGGGTAGATAAGTGTTGGTATATAAATCACTTCTTTTAGAATTAAGGAATATCTCTTATGAACAGAAATGTACATGTATCTAATATTTTATTTTTTATGTAAAGGATAAGCAGTAACTAGCATAGTAATCTGTCTTTCAAGCCAGCATTAACGGCTATATTCAAATCATACAAATAATTAAAAATTAAATAGATACATGTATGCTATGACACACTAGCTTACACATATATAATATTGTCATGCGTGAAGACATATTACACTTTAATTTTGCTTTCATAAATTGCTCTTAAATCATTTTCAAATATAAAGTATATACATGTATACATATAGTATCTTATACAATATATAGACGACCGTCATAAAACCAGTCATGGAAAGTGTTTTTAAACGGGCGTGCGACAAAATGAAATTATAACGAACATAACATGCTATCATACATGAATCTTTAGTTTTACACGTTTGTATTATATGAAACACATTCTAGTTATACATTGCAAATTTAGCGACGTCATTTGATAATTTGTTTTTATTAGCATGTAGAAGTTATGTACAACAATGTTATATGTAGGTCATGATCGGCCTTTCATCAAAATTGCACATTTTGGTCCCTGTCCATTTTTCACATAAGCAAGGACGTACTTAAGGCAAACTCGCTAAATCCCTTTTCGGGGCGACCCCTGTCGGCTTTTCCTTCTCTTTCATCTTCTCTTCGAACAACAAAATTCTGAAATAAGAACAGATTAATATAATATACAGTTAAAGGTTTGTATGGTAAAAAAGTGATATAAATCGACCTATATATGTATCATGTACGATACCAATGCTTACTCAGCAGTATTAAATGTTTTACATTTTTGACAGTGTTGGTCATTTTTATTGAACCTTTTAAATTAAGTGATGTACATTTTATAGATTTAACAAGACTCACATTTACCAGTAACGTGGCAGTCAAAACGTTTCCAGTGCTATAAATGTCAATTTTGCAGTTCATTTCAGTAATATGAGAAAAAGTTCACACGTGTCTGTCTGTCTGTTTGTCTGTCTATCTGTCTGTAGTCTTTGTTTAATCAGGGTCCATTCGATCGTAAATGCAAAAAGCAGCTTTCGCTGTCAAGTGCGAACCCCGGATATGTCACAAGTGATGCACTTAAAGGGCTAATGTTGAAGTACAAAGTGGTGATAATTTACCTCCTTGAATTTTACGCGGAGTATTAGCCAAAGATGTGATTTTTACCAGAAAGTAGGTTCCTGTACGGCGGTCAATGAGAACCATTATGTACAGTTACCTCGGACAATATGAAAAGGGCTATTTTTGCCAAGCAAATGACCTGCCATTCAAGTCGTCACTAATGTGCTAGAGACTCACACACTTTAGCACGTTTGCCGTCCCTGTAGTTTACATTTCTGAGGGTCTCTTACTTTTATAGTGACCTCACAGTCAGTTTAAATTATTGAACTGACCATCAGTCGGGAAGTTTGGTCTTCCCGTTGGTACATCATTAAAGTAAAATACCATCAGTCGTGTCAATATTCTTAATTTAAAGTATGTTAAAAATTCTCTTACAGTTTGAGAACTGACGTTTTTGGACCAATCATCATAGTTATAAAGTCTCTGTAACAGATTGACCCGGTGTTTGTAGTATCAATTTCTCGAATCATTTTTTTCATCTCAAGGTGTGTCTTTGCTTGTCCCAGTTTCTCCATCATTCGAGATAAACCAAACATATCTGAAAATATCATATATAATGTTACAAGCATACTCGCATATCTGTGTACACTGACCGATCTTTATAATTCTGTTACTTCTTCAAATTCAAATTAGCAATAATACAGTTCATGGTAAAACAAATCATTATAATCCGGTATGTCGAAAATGGAACTGATCAAACTAAAAAAAAAACATTGTTGTTTCTTTTGTGAGCCTTGAGACTATTTCAAAGACTGCAAAAGGTAAAACATCTGAAATGGTGAACAGATAGTTCATTTGTGTCTATTTAATGTTTTCAATTAATATTCCGAGTAAAGATGTTATGGAATTCGTATATGATATTTTAATAATCTGATCATGTACTCGCATAAAAGTTCTTACAAAGTTCGAAAAAGATTTTTCCCTTCAATATTTTATGAGGAACGTATATCAGGATGTGTGTTGTTGGGAAAATAAGCAACAGCCACCGTCAAGCGGGCGCTCACGCTCGTTCAACTTTTTTCTTATTTCTACAGAGAAGGATGTTGTGGTTAAGAATATTCCTAGAAAAAAATCTTGAACGAAATTAAATTTAAATTTGATATTTGACCTTGACAGTTAATGTCATTACCAGATCAAGGTCATACTTAAATTATTCAACATGTCGGTACTATCATAAGTGTTTTGTCCCAGCATGGATCAAATCTATCTGTCCATTATAATAGATAATAATGTATACAAAGTAATGACAATAAATTATTAAGCTTAATTGAATAATATGAACTTGACGGTAAAGGTCATTTAAAGGTCAGTGTCTCAATTATTTAATAATCATGTCAGTTTTGTCATAAGTATTATTTTGTCAAGAATGAATAAAATCATAAGTATAAGCTATGACAAGTGAAAAGAATTAATATGATCTTGATGATGAAGGTCATTTATAGGTTAAGGTCATTTTTTTAACTTGTCGTCAGTAAATCAACTGATCACAATTGAATTAAAAAATGATTTTAAAAAAGTTATGACAATTTATACTAAATTTAAATTCTTTACCTTGATGATCAGTGTCATTTAAAGGTCAAGTCATATTTGAATAATTCAACTTTTCAGTTTTGTTGTATGTGTTCTTTTGTCCAAGTATAAACAGACAAAGTTATGACAATAAAAGGCCATGGTCATATCAAAATAGTTCAACATGCCGATTTTGTCATATGTGTTCTTTTGTCCAAGTATAAATCAAATCCGTAAATAAATAACAAAGGAGAGTTTAAGCAAATTTCAATAAGTTGACCTTGACGGTTGTGATAAATCAAAGATCAAGGTCATATTTGAATAATTCAACATGTCAGTTTTGTCATAAGGGTTCTTTTGCCCAAGTAGGATTAAGGAGAATGATTATAAAATATGAAGAGAGATCAGCTTAGTAAACCAGTTATCTAAGCTCTATACAATTTTTTTCTGTTATAAAACTTCTATGTAAAGTTAACGATAATTGACATCAGGACTGGAACTTTAAGCTGCGGTCTCACTTACTCCCTGCAGAGCCCAGGACCACTCCGGTAAGTTACTGGGATGGTCCGGGACGATCCGGGGTGAAATTATTGTTGCGATCACACTAACCCCGGCAGCACTACGGTAATTCCCAACTAACCACCCAGGATGCGCTCCGGACCATCAAGGCAGAGCCCAGGTGAAGCTACGGTCATTGCCGGTGTTTCCCCGGTCTTTCCCGGATGACGCCGGAAGAGCCCCGGTTGACCTAGGCAGAGCCCCGGTCGATCCAGGCAGAGCCCCGGCAGAGGCCAGGACGATCCAGGCAGAGCCCCGGTCGATCCAGGCAGAGCCCCGGCAGAGGCCAGGACGATCCAGGCAGAGTCCCGGTAGAACCCCGGTGGATTGAAAACGCATGATACATAATTTTTATTTAATATTATATCTATTGTTCCAGAACAGTAATTCATGATGATTTTCTGAAAAATCCTAAAAAGAGAAATGGGAAGGATTTTAATACAAACAAGTGAAATCGTCGCAAATTGTCGTGATTCTTTTGAAATGAACCGGGTTTTGCCGGGGCTCTACCGGGATCAACCGTAGCTCCATCGTCATCTTCCGGGGCTCTGTCGACATCCTCCGGTGCTCTGCCGGCCTTCACCGGGGCTCTGCCAGCATACACCGGGGCTCTACCGTAGCTCTACCGGCTATATCATGCCCCGGATCATCCCCGGTTTGTGGGTACCCCGGTTTGTGCCGGCAGAGCTACGGTGATTCCCCGGTGTAACAACGGTCGTTCCCGGCAGAGCTAAGGATGAAGCCGGCAAAGCTACACTTCCCGGATCATCCCGGACCACCCCGGTGATATTAAATATTTTATTCCATCCGGGGTCGAATGCCGGCTGTTCCCGGATCTTCCCGGACGTTGCCGGCAGAGTTACGAATGTACTCCGGTTGTTCCCGGTCGTTCCCGGATCACCCCGGACGTCTACCGGGACTCTGCCGATGCTCTGCAGGGATGTTAGTGAGACTGTAGCTTTAACAACTTATAAATAATGCTTTAATCAACATGAACACTGCAAAGACGGGGCAATACACAAATTTTTAATTGTTTGAGTAATCTAAATAATCTTTCAATAAGGGAAGAGATCTAAACAAGAAACTTGTCTGAAAAAATATTTTAACTTAACTATCCTTATGATACTATATAACCTCCAAGGTGGCGACATTTACCCAAGGTGTATGATTCATAAAACTTTTATAGAGGTCTACAATGCAATGATATATCCCAAATAGAGAGACATAGAAGTTACCAACAACAAAAAATAAGATGTGTGTTTTTCGATACCTTATTTTTCGAGGTCAACAAGGCAATACTACCTGATAAATATTTACACTCAAGATATTGTTGTTTCACAACAAAGACTGAAATGTGTTTTGTCATACACGACTTTATCAACTAAGAGGCGGGGCAAATATTGACCAAAGAGACATGATTAACACCAGTTTTGTAGAGGCAAGCAAGGCAATTCTACATAGCTAGAGGTACACAGTTTCACAAAATAAGTCTTAAATGTGTTTTCCTATACAAACTTATATCAACTAAGTGACCCCGGGCCAATATTGACCCAAAGAGCATGATTAATATCAGTTATGATGTGGTCCACAAAGTGATATTTTTCATCCCAAATATCTAGGCATTGTAGTTTCACAATAAGTCTCAGATGTGTTTTTCCTTTATAAGTCTGCATCAATCAAGTGACCCCTGGGGCGGGGCCAAAATATAAACCAAAGGGCATAATTCATATCAGTTTTGTTCAGGTCAACAAGACAATGTTACATGCCAAATAGCTAAGCTTTTGGCATTGTAGTTTCAGACAATGAAACTTAAATGTGTTTTCCAATATAAGATATATATATATAGATCAGGTTATCCCTAGGGCGGGACCAATTTTAATCTCAGGAAGCCCAAACCTGCACATCGTCTCATTCTAAGTAATTTTTCTAACAAAAAGTGTTTTTTATTCTATCTGTTCACAAGATACAGAGCGAACACAAAATTTTAGAATTCATAATGTGGTTTTTACCTGAGGAAAGTGAAACCTGCTCGCTGCAAATCGTATCATTATGAAAGTTTTTTTCTCAAATTTCCTTCCAATGGTTCAAAAAATTACAGTCCGGACATGAAATTGCTAACAGAGGGCCGTACAGACGACATGGTGCATAACAATATATGCCGGCGTATATAAAGCAATAATATGGGTATTGTGGTTTATCAAATTTATTGTTTATATAATATGTTGATAAACCATCTTTGTTTTAAATTGATTCAAAACTTTAAATATAAAATCATGGTTACCTACATGTATATAGATAATGTTTACTTTCAAAACATAAATAAACAAAACGAGATAGATAGTTCAATGAACAAAATAACTCACCAATATTTCCATTTGCATCTTTATCAAACTCGAGAAACTTTTCTGTAAATTGAAATAAAATTAAAACGTTCAAGTGGAAGTAAAATCATTATAATGCAAACAGAATTTTTGTCGAAATGTGCATAGCAGTTCAAACGAAAAATACATGTATATTATTACATTGTTACTGTATGTAGTAAGCGTTTCTCTGTGAGACTGTTTTATATTAACTGTATAGCCTCAATATCAGTACATCATTAGCAAACTCCACTAAATTTTCAGTAACTGTATAACTCCTGACCTTACCAGCTCTACTAGGTTTTCAGTGACTGTATCATTGCCAACCACTACAACTATTATAGGTTTTCAGTGACTGTATCATTGCCAACCACTTCAACTATTATAGGTTTTCACTGACTGTATCATTGCCAACCACTACAACTATTATAGGTTTTCAGTGACTGTATCATTGCCAACCACTACAACTATTCTAGGTTTTCAGTGACTGTATCATTGCCAACCACTACAACTATTCTAGGTTTTCAGTGACTGTATCATTGCCAACCACTACAACTATTATAGGTTTTCAGTGACTGTATCATTGCCAACCACTACAACTATTATAGGTTTTCAGTGACTGTATCATTGCCAACCACTACAACTATTATAGGTTTTCAGTGACTGTATCATTGCCAACCACTACAACTATTATAGGTTTTCAGTGACTGTATCATTGCCAACCACTACAACTATTATAGGTTTTCAGTGACTGTATCATTGCCAACCACTACAACTATTATAGGTTTTCAGTGACTGTATCATTGCCAACCACTACAACTATTATAGGTTTTCAGTGACTGTATCATTGCCAACCACTACAACTATTATAGGTTTTCAGTGACTGTATCATTGCCAACCACTACAACTATTATAGGTTTTCAGTGACTGTATCATTGCCAACCACTACAACTATTATAGGTTTTCACTGACTGTATCATTGCCAACCACTTCAACTATTATAGGTTTTCACTGACTGTATCATTGCCAACCACTACAACTATTATAGGTTTTCAGTGACTGTATCATTGTCAACCACTACAACTATTATAGGTTTTCAGTGACTGTATCATTGCCAACCACTACAACTATTATAGGTTTTCAGTGACTGTATCATTGCCAACCACTACAACTATTATAGGTTTTCAGTGACTGTATCATTGCCAACCACTTCAACTATTATAGGTTTTCAGTGACTGTATCATTGTCAACCACTACAACTATTATAGGTTTTCAGTGACTGTATCATTGTCAACCACTACAACTATTATAGGTTTTCAGTGACTGTATCATTGTCAACCACTACAACTATTATAGGTTTTCAGTGACTGTATCATTGCCAACCACTACAACTATTATAGGTTTTCAGTGACTGTATCATTGTCAACCACTACAACTATTCTAGGTTTTCAGTGACTGTATCATTGCCAACCACTACAACTATTCTAGGTTTTCAGTGACTGTATCATTGTCAACCACTACAACTATTCTAGGTTTTCAGTGACTGTATCATTGTCAACCACCACAACTATTCTAGGTTTTCAGTGACTGTATCATTGCCAACCACCACAACTATTCTAGGTTTTCAGTGACTGTATCATTGTCAACCACCACAACTATTCTAGGTTTTTAGTGACTGTATCATTGCCAACCACTACAACTATTATAGGTTTTCAGTGACTGTATCATTGCCAACCACTACAACTATTATAGGTTTTCAGTGACTGTATCATTGCCAACCACTTCAACTATTATAGGTTTTCACTGACTGTATCATTGCCAACCACTACAACTATTCTAGGTTTTCAATGACTGTATCATTGTCAACCACTACAACTATTATAGGTTTTCAGTGACTGTATCATTGTCAACCACTACAACTATTCTAGGTTTTCAGTAATTCAATATCTGTTGATCTTCGCAACTCAACTCAGTAGCATTGCAAGTCTCTTAAAATCTACTAAGATTTTAGGAAATTAATGGTAGCTAACCTTTTTTAATGTAATTATGTTTTCAATAACTTTCTCATTGCTGACCTTAACAACTCTACAACGTTTACAGTAACTGCATACTTCCAACACCTACAACTATACAACGTTTACACGTTTACAGTAACTGCATTCTTCCAACACATAAAACTCTACAACGTATACAGTAACTGCATACTTCCAACACCTACAACTATACAACGTTTACAGGTATTGCATACTTCCAACACCTAAACTCTGCAACGTGTACAGTAACTGCATACTTCCAACACCTACAACTCGACAACGTTTACAGTAACTGCATTCTTCCAACACATAAAACTCTACAACGTGTACAGTAACTGCATACTTCCAACACCTACAACTCGACAACGTTTACAGTAACTGCATTCTTCCAACACATAAAACTCTACAACGTGTACAGTAACTGCATACTTCCACACCTACAACTCTTCATCCTTTTAGTAGTATCATTGCCAACCTCAACATCTATACTTCATTTACAGTAACTGTATCATTGCCAACATCTGTAATATATTAACAGTTACTGTATCATTGCCAACAACTCTAATACATTTACAGTAACCGTACCATTGCCAACATCTGTAATACATTAACAGTTACTGTATCATTGCCAACAACTCTACTACATGTACAGAAACTTATTACATATTATTTGAATTGGCAACAACTCTTCTACATGTACAGCAGCTGTATCATTGCCAATAACACTAATACATTAATAGTAATTGTACCATTGCCAACAACGCAACTACATTTACAGTATCTGTACCATTGCCAACAACTCTACTACATTAACAGAAACTGTACCATTGCCAACAACTCTTCTACATTAACAGTAACTGTACCATTGCCAACAACTCTAATACATTTACAGTAACTGTATCGTTGCCAACAACTCTACTACATTAACAGTAACTGTACCATTGCCAACAACTCTAATACATTAACAGTAACTGTACCATTGGCAACAACTCTACTACATTAACAGTAACTGTACCATTGCCAACAACTCTACTACATTAACAGTAACTGTATCGTTGCCAACAACTCTACTACATTAACAGTAACTGTACCATTGCCAACAACTCTAATACATTAACAGTAACTGTACCATTGGCAACAACTCTACTTCATTAACAGTAAATGTACCATTGCCAACATCTCTACTACATTAAGAGTAACTGTACCATTGCCAACAACTCTAATACATTAACAGTAACTGTACCATTGGCAGCAACTCTTATACATTAATAGTAATTTTATCATTGCCAACAACTCTAATACATTAACTGTAACTGTACCATTGGCAACAACTCTTCTTCATTAACAGTAACTGTACCATTGCCAACATCTCTACTACATTAAGAGTAACTGTACCATTGCCAGCAACTCTATTACATGTACAGTTACTGTATCGTTGACAACAAATCTACTACATTAACAGTAACTGAACGATTGCCAACAACTCTAATACATTAACAGTAACTGTACCATTGGCAACAACTCTTATACTTTAACAGTAATTTTATCATTGCCAACAACTCTTATACATTAACAGTAACTGTACTATTGCCAACATCTCTACTACATTAACAGTAACTGTACCATTGCAAACAACTCAACTACATTTACAGTAACTGTACCATTGGCAACAACTCTACTTCATTAACAGTAACTGTACCATTGCCAACATCTCTACTACATTAAGAGTAACTGTACCATTGCCAACAACTCTATTACATGTACAGTTACTGTATCATTGCCAACAACTCTACTACATTAACAGTAACTGTACCATTGCCAACAACTCTACTACATTAACAGTAACTGTATCATTGCCAACAACTCTACTACATTTACAGTAACTGTACCATTGCCAACAACTCTACTACATTTACAGTAACTGTATCATTGCCAACAACTCTACTACATTAACAGTAACTGTACCATTGCCAACAACTCTACTACATTTACAGTAACTGTATCATTGCCAACAACTCTACTACATTTACAGAAACTGTATCATTGCCAACAACTCTACTACATTAACAGTAACTGTACCATTGCCAACAACTCTAATAAATTTACAATAACTGTACCACTGTCAACAACTCTACTACATATCATTGCCAACAACTCTAATCGTGTTACAGTACACTCACTTTTAAACGCTTCTAAATGGTCTGTGAGATCATCAACCTCTTTATAGTCTGGATCATCAAGAATCTCCTTCAAATAAAAAGACAAAAACATCTTTGGGTATTGCACCCCTCTCGAAATAAAATATGATCACATAATAAGACATATTTTTTTTAGTTTTAACAAGGCTATTTCTAAATCTTCTCTGTTTTTATCTCAGAAACACTGGTAATGTTAAGAAACATTGGTATTGTTAAGAAACACTGGTTATGTTGAGAAACACATGGTATGTTCAAGTTCTCATATATTAATTATTATATTCCGGAACGTTGGGGATATACTAGATCGTTGGTATAAAACAAGTTCAGTAGTGCATGTAAACACTATTACGGTAACTGACATGATAGGTAAATGTGCAGCTAATCTGTTCATGTTAATGTTAAAATAAAATTACATTCGTAAACAAGTTTAACTGCATTAAACGGTATGAGAAATGCTGCCCCCAGGCCATTATGTACATCTTTGGGCCATTATCGCATAATGGCGATTAACCTCTTATGGACCTTTCCGGTGTTTACAGTTTTATGTAAATTGGCTAACTTGTTACCCAATCGCTACACTGAGATAATACATAGTAACTGGTTGACCTGGTTTGCACAAAAGAGCACGTGCTTATGTTTGTGATACTGTTTGTGAGCAGTTGACCTAGCAATGAATGGAAAAGGTGTGGCTAAATGTTCCGCTACGAAAAACCGGAAAGGTCCATTATAAATATCCTCCGAAATTTATCGGTTCACTACAGTCTTTATATTTAGATAGTTTTCATATTTTATCGTTAACATTTGTAATTATAATTTAATGTTAATCTTTTGAAATATACGACTATTTTATGTCACCTTGACAGTGAAAAAAATGAACATAAATATCCCGCATCATTCAGTCTTTACACCATAATAATGTATAGCATACCTTATTTATTTTATCCAAAGCTTCCTCTTCCGGGTTCGCTATAATCTTGTAATTTTTTGGGGCTGTAAAAAGTGGAAAACATACATTTAAAGAAAAAAAGTACTTGTAATAAGAGTCATATTTTGTCGTAAAAATGTCATATGACAAAGTTATTATTTGCATACACAATTAAAATCATAAACAATAATTAGACTGAGGATCCAGCTGCATGATCGTATAGCTATGTGATATCATAAAAATTTACAGAAAAACCTGAAGTAAAGCGCAATGTTTTAAAAGACTTGTACTGTATAACAGATATTCTGCTCGACATGATTATTTTGGAGGTAAAAGTGCACGTGTAAATTACGAGTGTAATATTTCCTAATTTATTCGTTATCGTAATTGTTATTTTGATTATTTCAACCCGGATTTAAAAATAATCATGCGAGCTGTTGATGATTTGTTTAATTGTTCCTATGTACATACATTTTAAGTATGTATACATGTAATTTACCACGACATCATAGTATATAAGATGTATTATTGTACTTAACCAGCGTTGACCTTGTAAGTGTGTAAGGTTCATTTATCAGTGTTGTTGACGTGTACTTTCTGCTAAACGTAAGTACACAATGAATGAAAACTAACGTGAAATATATAAGATCAACATTTACGTCAAATATATAACTAAATCTTAACACAGATACTAACATTATAAAAGCACAAAATCTACAATCTGAAAACACTTAATAAAGTAAACTCTCCGTAAAATCTTCATATCTACAAAACATCTAAAATTAAAGATTAAATCTACATTTGAATCTAAAAGATGAACACTAACGTGAAATCTACATCTAAATCTTGATAAACACTAACATTAAATCAACATCTAAATCTGAACACTAACTTGTGAAATATACGAAAATCTATTTTATAAATACTAACGAGAAATCTACATAGAAAGATTGTACATCATTCTAGTTATTCCCTGTTTATTTTTAGAAATAATTAGGGATCTTTTCGCGACAATTTAAAACGTATGCTTTCATAGCCAGCCCGCAAAGCTCAATCGGTTAGAGCACTACTTGTAATCTCGACACTGTGGGTTCGAAGCTGGCCAACTAAAATTACTAATCAGTTTTTCAGATGAGACTTTAAATCGAGGTCCCGTGTATGAGTGTTTAAGCTTGCATTATCCTCCAAAATATAAAATGACTAATAATCTTCATATGGCCAACCCGTGGCGAGTATAAGTAAACTCAAATACACACATTTCATTTTAGTAGAAAATATTAAGATTCGTGAATTTGTAAAAGCTTAGCTTGTTACATCTAATATTTCAAATTTGGATGAACACTTCCTTGTTATAACTTATAATTTGTCATCAGTGTATGTGTATCATATAAAGTACATTGATTACAACAGATAACGTTATATAGTTTTATACTAAGTAAATTATGGAACGCCGTGACTGTCTTATGTGTAAATACACAACGCTTATAACATATTCTTTATCATCTATATGTTCAATTATATTGCATACATTGAACTGTCAATTATGCATACATTGGGGCGAGCATTAGAATATTCGATATCCCTCTTATAATTCAAACAATTACGTAATAGTTTCACAATCATATTTGTAACAGTATCTCAGTTGATGAGGGGGAAAAGGGAACAAACCGGTCACAATCTCTGGAAGTCACAAAAGGACACATCAACTCAAGTTAGGGAATTCTTACTGAACAAAATTATTCAAATGCTGTTAATATGTGAGACATCTTATAATGTGAGACATCTTATGTAATTATATTTTACTGATTAACATTTTTAATAAAACTATTAAATTATCTTATTCTTGTCTTTTAAACAAGAAAATATCTAAAGGATAAACAAAAAAAAATACCTACATTATAGTTGAGCTTATTTTCTCACATATTTATAATACAGAATGTTTACCTCCCTGTTGCTTCTTTGTTGATGTTTTTTTTTGACATGAAGTATTTCTAACCTTTTAAACTTAATTTTAACTGTGGAAGAAATTGATCTCTGATTGTTGAAATAAAGATAAGTTTCCAAAAGTTACTTTACTATACTAGTATATATATTTTGTTCCCTTTTTATGCCCCCACCCCCCCCCTCCCCTTCAAAGAAGAGTTTGCTAATGTCGGTCGGTCTGTCTGTCTGTCCGTCGGTAGACCACATGGTTTCCGCTGATTATCTTATAAATATTTATCACAAAGTCTTCATAATTCACATACTGATTGGTCATAACTAGTAGATGACCCTCTTGATTTTGGGGTCACTAGGTCAAAGGTCAAGGTCACAAGGGTCGTAAATGTCAGAATGGTTTCAGCTGATCATCTTGAAATATATTTATCAAAAAGTCTTCATACTGATACATACTGATTTCTCATAACTAGAAGATGACCCTATTGATTTTCGGGTCAGTAGGTCAAGGTCACAAGAGCAGTAAATGTCATAATGTTTTCCGATGATTATCTTAAAAACTATTTATCACAAAAGCTCCATATTTCACATACTGATTGGTCATATCTAGTAGATGACCCCTATAGATTTTGGGGTCACTAGGTCAAAGGTCAAGCTCACAGGGGCCTTAAATGTCAGAATGGTTTCCGCTTATTATCTTGAATACTATCTAGCACAAAGACTTCTTATTTCACATATTCATTAGTCATATATAGCTGATAATCCTAATTGATTTTGGGGTCACTAGTTCAAAGGTCAAGGTCACAGGGACAATAAATGTCAGAATAGTTTCTGCTGATTATCTTGAAAACTATTTATCTCAAAGTCTTCATATTTCACATACTGATTGGTCATGTCTAGTAGATGACCCCTATAGATTTGGGGATTACTGGGTCAAAGGTCAAGGTCAGAGAGACCTTTAATGTCATTATGGTTTCCGCTCATTATCGTGAAAACTTTTTTAACAAAGTCTTCATATCTCACATACTGATTGGTCATATCTAGTGGATGACCTCTATTGATTTCGAGGTCACTAGGTCAAAGATGAAGCTCACAGGAGCCATAAATTAGAGAATGATTTCCGCTCATTATCTTGAAAACTATTTATCACAAAGTCTTCATATTTTACATATTGATTAGTCATATATAGTAGATGACCCAACTGACTTTAGGGTCACTAGTTTAAAAGTTAAGGTCACAGGGGGCCTTAAATGTCAGAATGGTTTTCACTCATTATCTTGAAAAATATTTATCACTTTGTCTTCATATCTCACATACTGATTGGTTATAACTAGTAGATGACCCTTATTGATCACTAGGTCAAAGGTCAAGGTCACAGGGGCCTTAAATGTCATAATGGTTCCCGCTCATTATCTTGATAACTATTTATCACAAAGTCTTTTTATTTCACATAGTGAATAGTCATATGTAGTAGATGACACCTATTGATTTTGGGATCACTAGTTCAAAGGTCAAGATTACAGAGACCCTAAATGTAAATATGGTTTCCGCTTATTATCTTGACAACTTTTATCACAAAGTCTTCATATTTCACATATTTATTAGTCATAATGGGGTCATTAGTTCAAAGGTCAAGGTATTTATGTTTCTTATATTGATTGGTTATAACTCAAGTATGTCATTATTTCTCTGTTTTCCATAATTGAACACTTCCATGTACCCATTTATGACAAGTTTCTATAACAAAATTACCAATTATATGAGTCAAGGGCTAGAAAGGGGGGAATATGGGTCGTTCGACATTTCTTGTCTTTTTTTTTCCTTGCTGCTGCCATTATTCAAGAATCTGAAATTTAAGTTTATCCGTTATTCCATACAATATTATAATTTAGATAAAATGCAGAACTAGCGTCATTTGATTGATTACCTAAATTCTTTATTATTTTTTTAACTTGCATAAGCAAACAATTAGCGAGTTAAAATGAAAGTTATTGATGACTTCAGAACTACTTTAACTAATGAGGTTAATCAAAGGGCTGCAACCCTGTGGTATTTTCTGATCTTTGCAATCTAAATCATACTGACTATCTGTATGTATTTTCCTATATAAGTTTATTTTATATACTATAATTAATCTTACGCAGCGACTACGTCTGTAACAGTTTGAGATTGATACATATGGAATTTTGCATGACTAGAGTTGCATCAAAAAATCATTTTCATTTTTTTATGACAGCCATACTTTATCGGCTACTTCATTAAAAAAGACACTTAAAAAAAAAAAGTTGCCCTCGACTAGGATTTGAACCTTGGGCCTCTCACTCCCTAAACGAGCGCGCTACCTCTGCACCACGGTGAAGTAACACATATGTAGCTGGAATAATAACAAATACATTGTAATTCTAAATTTGAGAATTTCCATTTCGTGCTTGTAATCCTTACTAATTTCGAGGTATTTTCTTCACTATAAACCTGTTGTTTAACACTGATGAAAATAATTTAGCGAAAATCTTCTCGCCAAAACAGTACGACATGTATATATTCCACTACTCGACAGTCAGATTTATGTGTACTACGCTCTGGAGTATTCGGTAATCGACATAGCTAAAAATAGCATTTTCATTGATTAAGCTTTACGGAAATAGCCAAACATTTTTCATTGGGTAAAAAAGATATTTATCCGCGAAATTTGTGATTGAAACCTCATATTTCTATTGACTACTCTAAACTTTTAATGCACTGTAATTCGTTAAATGCATACATTAAAAATTATTCTTTATTTTAAATTGCTGGTTTTTAAGCAGTTCTGAGTGAGAACTACTTTGCGTTGTTAGGTCTGTTAGGAAAACTTGTGTTAGACCGTGGATGTTAGCTATGTATTTACTGATCTTGCGATCAGAAAATACAATAAACCACTCGTACATGTACATCGGACAAACTATTTTAAATAGCAAGTATATGACGTGTTTTATGACGCAATCGCCATTCTCCCACCATCCAGAAAATTCAAGTGGTCTGACAACTAGTGGTGGTCCTTGCCAAAAATCAGGTGGTCTCGGACCAACGGACCACTCCGGGAGTGAACTGTGTACGGACTTTGATGCCCATTTAACTTCGGAACACCTTGCCGATTATTTCTCCGAGAACAAACGGAAATAGCCGAAGTGTTGTTATTATTCTCAAATGCAATTTTGTCAATCAGTAATTCTTACTTTCCCGCCATTGGAACTATTAAATAAATCTTCAACAGCTATAAAAAGACCTCTCGCACGCATGCTTCTTTTTAAAGAAGCAAACATGTTTTCTATAGTTCCTTATCTTACAATTTGATAGAACAATGTGTAATTCTAGTAAAAGCTAGTTAAAGCTAACACAAATTGATAAATCTTTTATGTAATTCTATATTAAATTAACGTTATAATACATGAAGCTTTTTGTATACGATTTAATTTCCAAGCTGAGTACATATCAGTATTCGACACTCATTTCCAGCCATAAAGTTGTTTTTTTTTTAATTTGAAAAAAAAAACAAAAAAAAACAACAAAAAAACAACAAAAAAAAACACTATCAATATAAGATTGACTTTTATTTACTATACTCAGTCGGGAATCTTGCTTGAGAGTGTAATCTGAGAAAACACAGAAGCATACCTGTAACAACTAATTTTATATTTCATGAATTATAAGATAAAATTGTTAAAACCAGACAATAAATGCAACATAATTCATAAAAATAAAAGACGATAAAAATCATTTCGTTACATACTTTGAGGTATGTCATTATTACTTATAATTATGTAAAGTAGTTTTTCTGTGAGTTTTATTTTTGTAATAGTACTAACGACACAATATCAAAATGCCGAAAATACACGAGTAATACATTCGTGCACATAAACTGACATAACTATTATTATAACAATGTGAATGAAAATAATTTGTACAAATTAACTTTGTTTTTAGAACATACTGAGTCAACTAACAAATCATAATCGGCAATTGGTCTTTTACATTGCATAATGGAAAAAAAGCCTAGCATATTAACTTTAAATATTGCATAATGTAGAATGTACATGTACCTAAATAATTGGGAATCTACCTGTATTGGTCAACTAACATATTGGTCAACTAACATAGCATACTGGACGACCTACCTTACATATTGGTCAAATAACATGGCAAAATGCAGAATGTATACAACATATTGGGTCAACTTAAATGGGACAATGAAGACTGTACCTAAGTTATTTGGTCAAGTTAAACGGAATAATGGAAATTGTACCTAACATAATGAAGACTTTTTATAAGAGTTAAGTAAATATTTATACATGTATTCCTAAAATTAGTATATGAAGTATTTTTATAAGAGTTAAGTAAATATTTATACATGTATTCCTAAAATTAGAAAACCACAAGCAGAAACATAGTTTGCCCTTTTCGCCGCCAATGTTCCGACCGACACAAAAATAAATTCTTAAGCCACATGTGTGTTCAATTTGAAGTTTCTACATGCAATGTGCAAGTTGCAAACGAATGTTTTCAAAGTATCTATGTATTTTTTTATATGTCTACATGTTTATAACCATATATCAGTGATAACACTTTAATATTATCAAGAATAAAGATGGAAATCTACGCCGGTCTAAAATAAACAATTTAAGTGATCATTTTGCATCTATTACACAAACCTTTATCTGGGAGGTTAAATACACGTGCAGGCTCAATTTCCTCTTCGTTTCCTGGAATGGTCTCTTTCTTAACCAAATCATTTCCTTCATTTGCCATCTTTTCTTCTTCATATGTAGTAATTTCTACACTATTATCAACATTTTCATCACCATTATGCCCATTTTCTCCAGTGTCCATTGCATTCGTATCTTGCCCTTGTTCACTCATAGTTTTTATTTTGATTCACAAAAATAAACTTGACTTGTTTTCCTCAAAACAACTAGGCTAAATTTTCAATTAAATTACGTCTTATCAATGGTAATAATTTCCTTATAACTTCTCAAGTGTCACTCTTTTCCACATTGTATTCTATATTTCCAAATCATAACTTCCTTGATGTAAAACAATTGTTCATACTTATAAAACGGAAACCTTTAGGCAATTATCTCAATTTTCCCAACTGAACTCTGTTCATATCGTATCGTAGCAACTCGAGAACGCTGGAGCGTGAATCATTTTGTACAGTGTGTGTATTTTCAAGGGCTATTGATTTTACTATTCGGTGGTTGTTCGTCCGACGCAAGTAAATTTTAATAATACAGTCAGTCAGTCAGACAGGCAGACAGACAGTCTGGTCACTCCGATGCACAGTTTATGTAATGACTGAAAACATAGATTGTTGTTAGGAATCCGGCATTAAATTACATTAGTATTTCAATACAGTATTTTATGCTAAGTACAACAGTTTTCGTACGTTGAAACACTTTTCCATTAAGAAAACCCGGAAGTTCAAAAATGATTAGCTATACAAAGTTAGTTTTTATACAAGGTTCAATGTTATACAAGCATCTCAAATATTTAAGATAAATTTTCTTTACATATATTTTTAAAATATATGAATCTGACCACATTTTTTCAATATCTTTGATACATGGATAATTCTAGAGTTCAAAACTCATGAATCAATTTGTATAAACTAAAACGAAATATAAATAAACTACTCGTTTGTTTATAAGAACCAGGTGTAGCGTAATTTAAACATCTGCCAGTCTGCCAGATCAGTCATCGCATAATTCTGGACAGAATGAGTAGTATAGGCGCCTCTTTAACGTCACGACTGCGCATGCGCGGCGCCATATTGGATTCTAGTTTTAGAATGACATCATCGTTCTATATTTAGAAATTCATTTTTAATCTCCCGGAAGTATACGGAGCTGACTTGTATACCCGATCTAGAGCGTGAATCGCGGACATTGAGGGTCAGGTCCTCGGCCCAAGACGGGGAGATAAAATTAGTATCGAAGCATTTCAAAATTGAATGGCGAAAATAATGATTCCCTTTGTTTTCATATTTCCCACACTGCGTACAGTGTACTTGACAACTGATTTAATTATTACTTTTAATCAATGTTCTGTATAATACACGTTTAATTTAACTCAAATAACTAACATTTTAAATGTATTTCTTCATATTTTAAATATCACCCTTAATACATAATTTATCTTATACATTTTCAAATAAGGTTATTAACATATTTATTTTAAGTATTTCTTTATAAACATTTAATAAAAATATTACCTCTTTACTCCTTAAGCTCCAGCAACGAAATGACTCCAATATTAAAAGTACTATCCCTTAATGCGCATGCTCGGATCTGATGACGTCACCAATGCAATAAAACAAGCTCCAACATGTCGCGCGTCTATTTATTTAAGGCCGACTGGGCGGACAATTTAAAGTAAACATGTCAAATTTGATCCTTTTAAAGTCGCCGCACTGTTTGGCGTGTGTTGATTTAAGAGCAGATGTGCGGACAAAAGGCTATTCAGGTGTCAAGGCTAGCTTGTTTACATTATTTGACGTGTGTTGATTTAAGAGCAGATGTGCGGACAATAGGTTATTCAGGTGTCAAAATTAATCCATTCAGAATGTCAACAATGTTTGGCGTCCTGTTTATTTTAGAGCAGATGTGCGGACAATGGTCCATTCAACTGTCAAAATGAATCCCTTTAAAGTCGCCGCGATGTTTGGCGTCTTGTTTATTTAGGGACGAATACTTTAACAATGGTCTATTCATATGTCAAAATTAATCCCTTTAAAGTCTCCGCGCTGTTTAGCGTTTGTTTATATAAACCCGAATGCGGTATAATGGACATTGATTTTATCAATAGTGTACCTTAGCGAAATGTTTACTTAGTGCAAACAGACTGCTGAAATAAGGATTAAAATTTGTAGAAAATGTTGCAACTTATAAAATTATGACTTATACCTAATACTGTTTTGCTTTCTAGTCTACAAAATGCTGTAATCTACACTTTAAATGAAATTTCATTCCCTTGCGTGTATTTCTGAGCAATTCCATTCAAAGAAATTAAGCTACAGACCGGTTTTTCCTCTCTAGGGCAACCGTTTACGATATGATTTTTCAATTTTTCACTACCAATTGAAAGAACATTTTAATACCTTTAATTTACACCCCCCATTGTCGATTCGATTTTCAACCGTTACAGAGTTATTACGTAACAGCGATTTTTAAACCCAAATTTTTTAAAGTTTACAAAGCCCTTCAATTTATATACCGTTAAAAAGATCTCGACGAGTAGATTCAGAAAATGTATAGGTTTATGGGTCTATCATTATGAGTTACTGAGATATTACAGATATAAACTTAGTGTATTTTAACCACCAATGTAAGATAAAGCGTTATTGCACTAAATTGTTTGAAAATATTCAAATGAGTGTGGCGTCCTTATTTATGGGTCGATTTTATCCATTTTGGTATCAAATTAAAGGTATTCAAGAGTACTTTCAGACGCTGTTGATAGTAAAGTTCATACTGGAAGTCAAAATTACTCATGCGTTAAATGACAATTCTCCGCTTATTTCTGGACATAACATGGGTATGTTGCATATCAAACGAAAGGTCTTGACAAATGCGACAAGCTGAAACTAACAAACCGCAAGTGAAACCAATCATGCGTAAAAATCATTAAAATAACTAAAATAAGCTTACCCCCAACCTTTACTCCTCGCTATCTAAATCGGCAATGAATGAATCGCTACGGTTAATCGTAATAAATGGAGTAAAAGAAGCGTTCGGATTGGTCACTGATAAGACAGTATTCTGATTGACTCGAAAGCAGGTTGGACAACCGTTCCTTGCAATGTGTAAAAATACATAAAACAAGTGAGGAGGAGGAGGAGGTGGAGGAGGAGGAGAGAAGGAGGAGGAGGAGGAGGGGAGAGGGTGGAAGAAGGTGGAAAAGGAAAAGAAGAAGCAGGAGGGGTAGGAGGTGTAGGAGGAGGAGGGGAGGAGGAGGAGGTGGAAAAGGAGGAGGAGGAGGAGGAGAGAAGGAGAGGAAGAGGAGAAAAGGAGGGGAGGAGGAGGAGGTGGTGGCAGAGGAGAAGGAAAGGAAATTTTTTCCTGTATCTGTGACCTATGGGTATCAAGCAGTTCAACCGATCTAAATTGAGAACAATCCTCACTCAGGAGAATATATAAAATAATACGTCGATGTATGTAAACCTTTCAAAAGACATCCAATGGAACAGAAACTGGACTTTTCTCAATGAACCAACACACTCTATAGATAAAGATTGGAAGTGCTTATCAGAACGGGATATGTACATGGACACCACAAAGATAGGCATTGAAGGTGGTCAATTACACTGACAATACATCACAAATAACAAGGCAATATATGTATTCATATCTTTTATTTGGATATACATGTATTTTCATGCGAAAAATAAAAAACAAAACATGTCAATTTTTATTTTATTAACATACAACATTCTGAAACAATAATTATGGTGTTAAGAGTAATGATGCATTTTGTCTAGAAGCTTTACTTATTGGATTTCTTCCAGTTTCATCATTTTAGACACTATAAGGTCGTCATTGAGCTTTTTTCGTTGTGGATTAAATTCTTTGGCAATGTTTCTCATTGATTTTCCTTTATATCGTTTGATGACGTAGTACGCGCAATAAAGTCCACACACGTTAGACGAAGACTGTTGTAGCTGCCCATTATACATAGGGTATTTCTTGTTTAGTATCTTCTCAAATCCAACCTGATAGCTTTGCGGGCAATTTCCCATCGAGTCGAAAAATTCGTAAGGGCCTTTCGTGGGAAAATAAAAAAGCCACCCAATGTTTTCCCGGGCCATTGCTTGTATCCGTATTGGAAATTACGAATCTTCCTTTTTGTTTGCGAATTTTATCAGCCGCACACACTGTCACTGGATATCCTCGCAATATATTTTCTAACTGATAATTGTTCATTTTTAGTAAGTTAAGTGACTCCAGTCATTGTCCGTTCGGCGCTTCTTACGCTCCGTATACTAGAATTTCTGTTCCATTTAACTTCCGATTTTGCAATTTCAATCGCTTGGGCCACTGGGCTAACCAAATTAACTGAGGGACGCTGTGTATTTTTTAGCTCCTCTTCCGCTAATTTTAGCTTTTCCTCGGTGGCTTTGAGTTTCGCTTCTAGTGTTTCGACTCTTTTACGCAAATGGCCGCTACCTACAATGTAACGGCCTTTATGATCGGCTTTAACGTACCCGTCCCCAAGTCTTTGAAATGTTGATACCAATTTATCTGGATCATCTATATAAGGGACCCATTTCATTTGTTTATAATCGTATACTTCTATGGAACCCATTGTAACGTTGTAAACTTAAGACTGGCGATCCTTCTTACGCATTTTCATCCTCATCGTTTTTATCGTTCTCATGATTAGAAATGTTAATGTCGTGACTGGGCCATAGAACCTCAAACAGATCTTTTCTTAGTTTAATGGCTTGTCGAATAGATTCCTTAAAATTCATACCGTGTTGATGTCTAAGTTTCCTCGCGGACTGGAAAATTTGCTGTTGAGTAGGGTCCTTTGCAATACATAAAAGTCAATAAGAAATTGTGCATAATTTTGTCTCAACATTTTCCTCAAATGCGGCAACACATCATTTGCAGCTCGAGAAAGAGCATCATCAAAAGAGTACTCTTGATCTATGTAACTTTTAGTCGTTCCTTAAATTGTTCCGAATGAGCCTGTCTGAGGGGCTTTTGAAATCTTCGATCCCATATGTCATGACGTTTGCGTTCTTTTTTGAGCTTTTCTTTTATACGCTTACCAGGAGGTCCCATAAAGAAAGACGTTCTTTTCATTCCAATATTTTCGTCGTCTGACTCATCCATCTCCTTCTCCTCATAATCATCATCAACATCATCATTTAAAGTATTGTCAGACAAGGTTTCTTCTCCACTAATCTCATTTTCGGAATCATACGCATGCTGTCTTTTCCTAGCTTGACTTTCAAAAATGTTTTTTCGCGTAAACGGTCATGTTCTTGAGTAGAGGATTTCAAGTCTACCACTAGATAACCGTGAGGTCTTGATGTTGCTTGTTCGAAAGCGTTTCATAAAGATGTTATAGGAGGAAGGATATATATTCTTCTCGCTAACGTAGCCACCTGCTGTCTGTCAATGGGGTTATTAAACAATACTAGGTACTGCGTATTCAACGCGATATCTCTGCAGGCTTTTCCTTGAGGAAATAAAATTTTTGAGTTAGATACACGATAGATATGTTCCTGTGGTGACTGCCTTTGGTAAAAA